ATTATGAAATTAATATTATACTGTGATTATCAATAAGATTCTTTAAACTGACTTGATTGTCGGAGTGCTTTTGAGTGTTCGACCTGACATTAAACAAAAGAGTTTGATAAAAACAGTAACAAAGATTGAAGGTGACATAAAGAGACTTGTGAAAAAGTGTGAAGGAGTAATTCTTGACCCTTTATCAAAAACACCAGCAAAGAACTAAATAGTCTTGCAATTAATGGGGGTATAAAAATTTTGTCTTTTACAAAAAAGTTATGGTTTAATCCTAAACCATGTGTGGTTCTGGATAAACTAACTTCATGTAACTCTTTTTTGTAAATTGGTTGAACATACAATAATTTGTCTTTTACCTTGTTATTCCCCTATTTTTAACTCCTGGGTCCCTCCTTTTACTTTGCTTACTGAATGAAGGCAATCAAACTATTGGGTAGGATGCTTATTGCGTTGGTTGGTACCTTTTTCTTCTGTGGCTGGCTGCATTTAATCTTGCAGCATACATATCCCAATGCAAGTGGCTGTGTAATGTGTTTCTTTTAATAGTTAGAAAGGAGGTGGCATCTCTTTCAACCAAACTTCTTAGTTCGCGTTTCAAATCTATACAAGAAAACAGTTAAAAGCCCTTAACCGTGAATTGATTACCATATATGTGAGGTATGAAGATAGCCTTTTCAGCAGTGCTGATGAATCAAAATCTTCAATTGAGAAGGATTGAGCATTATTTAACAACGAAAAAAATGAGATTTGAACATCTTGGCAGCGGAATTGATTTTAATGAAGTACAAAAGCAGCATCTTTTGACAAAGAATCATAAAAACCACATTGAAAAAGATGCGCCGTTTGAATCATTTAGTTGGTTCTGATAGCACAGGATAGTGCGTGTAATTTTCTGTGCTCTCCTTAACCTTTGAAACATCCAATCAAGGGTGAAGTGGATGAGCTGAAAATCATAGCCCAACCATAAAAATTTCATGTTGATGACATGTTCAAGTCTCTCTCTAAATGTGAATTAATGAATCATTACCCGCTGCTGCAATTCAACAGTGCTTGGTGTATCTTCTGGAAGAGAGGATTAGACCTTCAACAGGGGAAAAAGATGGGTAAGAAAATTTATAAAACATGCTTTTGATAATAAGAAAAAGAAAAGTGTTTTTGCAGCTGAGAAGTATTTTTCAACTGAGAAGGGTTTCTGTCGGCTGAAAATTGCATAAATGTCTTACATCGAAGTGGACAACTAAGGGCGACATTGTGTAGCATGCAAGAAAACTTTGTAACGCTTAAAATACATGACCAGCATTATTTTATAGTCACCTACCACTTGTAAAACGACATAGCATCATAGATTTTGTTCCATTATAAGGTTGCTTGGTCATGTGTTAGTATTCAAAAGAAAGGAGACTAACAAGGGCCAAGGAAGAATTGAAGAAACACACAAAAACATTAACTTCTCAAGTGAATGGAGTCACGCCTTCTGCCAATATTTCTGGTGGCTCTTTCATTCTCACCATTTGTTCAATCCTTGGTGCGTCATTACAAGTTTAGTGTAAGTACTTCCTGTGTGACAGTGTCAAACGCAAGTGAAAATTACTGAAAGTTCTACTCTTACGATAAAAATAATATCATTAATCATGATTAGCTAGCCATTTGACCAGTTAATGTTGGCCAATGTGACAGGTGATCTTGAAGAATACCACACAGCTTTGCTCCACGAAATCATTTGTCGCAGTCAATGGACAATGTCCAGGGCCAACTCTCTATGCAAGGGAAGATGATACTGTACTTGTAAGGGTCACTAACCATGTTAAGTACAATATTACAATCCACTGGTGAGAATTTTTACACCTAAATAAACACCATGAAACTTTAGAAATTTGGCAATAGAAAAATTTACTGCATCATAAATTTTGAACCATCACAGGCATGGAATCAAACAGCTTCGAAGTGGATGGTCTGATGGGCCAGCATATGTCACTCAATGTCCGATTCAGCCAGGGCAGAGCTTTGTCTACAACTTCACCATCACAGGTCAAAGAGGCACACTTCTCTGGCATGCACACATCACTTGGCTAAGAGCCACAGTGTATGGTGCCATTGTTATATTACCTAAACGAGGCATTTCTTATCCATTTCCCAAACCAGATAAAGAAAAGATAATCATTCTTGGTAAGTTTCCTGATAGGATAAAATGTAGAAAGTAAAATTAATCTTGATCACTTGTACTTTATATTGTTTTGTATGATTTACAGGTGAATGGTGGAAATCAGACGTTGAAGCAGTGCTGAATGAGGCTGAAAGTTCTGGTCTGCCACCCAACATATCAGATGCTCATACCATCAATGGTCATACAGGACCACTTCCCGGTTGCAATTCTAGGGGTACTGATATTATAGACTAACTACTTATTTTTCAAGAATTTAATATTAACAACAATGATATTCTCTACTATTAAGTAAATGACTAAAATAGTGTGAGAATTGATGTAAAAGTCTTCGTAATATTGAAATTAAGAAAAACTAAAATTAGCTATAGCATCAATCATGTTATAGCTAAAGTAAAAATACAAAAGAGAAAGAAACAGTTTGTAGATGTTTTGACAGATGGTGAAATACAGAGCTTAATCAAACTGTGCAGGTTACACTCTACATGTCGAAAGTGGCAAGACCTATCTTCTGCGCATCATAAACGCTGCCTTGAACGATGAACTCTTCTTCAAAATTGCGGGGCACAAGCTGACAGTGGTTGAAGCAGATGCATCCTACGTTAAACCTTTTGAGACAGACACAATATTCATGAGCCCTGGCCAAACCACCAATGTCCTATTATCCGCCGACCAAGGTGTTGGCAAGTACTTAATAGCAGTTACTCCATTCATGGATGCCCCCATAGGCTTCGACAACGTTACTTCCATTGCTACACTTCGCTACAAAACCACACCACCTTATCCCACAACAACTCTGACCACCATTCCTGCACTGAATGCAACTCCTTTAACAACTCACTTCATCGATTCCCTTAGAAGCCTTAACACCAAAGAATACCCTGCAAGAGTTCCATTAACCGTCGACCACTCCCTTTTCTTTGCCATAACCGTTGGCCTTAATCCATGCGACACGTGTCTCACCGGGAGCAGGCTTGTCTCTGCTATTAACAACATCACCTTTTTGTTGCCGACAACATCACTTCTTGAAGCACATTACTACAACGTCAGGGGTGTTTTCACAGATGATTTCCCTGCATACCCTCCTATTGTTTTCAATTATACTGGTACTCAACCGGTTAATATTCAGACCAACAATGGCACAAGACTGTACAGATTGAATTTCAATTCAACTATTGAAATTATTCTCCAGGGCACTGCAATGATAGCTCCAGAAAATCACCCCTTTCATTTGCATGGCTACAATTTCTTTGTTGTAGGGCAGGGACTAGGGAACTTTGATCCAGAGAAGGATCCGTTAGCCTTTAATCTTGTTGACCCAGTTGAGAGAAACACCATTGGGGTACCCAATGGTGGATGGGCAGCAATCAGATTCAGGGCAAATAACCCAGGTATAGTTACTAATCACTTTCTATGTGAGTTTGTTTGTGCTTCAAAATTTTCCCATGCAATTATTATGCATAATTTATCTACAGTGAGTTTGCTGATATTTGTAAAATCTATTACAATTACCGTACGTGAAAATTAAACTTTATGATCAACATGTAGTTCATGTTGACTAAATTGATGTTTATAATGTGTGAACTGTGAAGGTGTTTGGTTCCTGCATTGCCACTTAGAAGTACACACCACATGGGGACTTAAGATGGCATTCATAGTAGACAATGGCAACGGTCCCAACGAGTCCCCGTTTCCACCTCCCAACGACCTTCCAAAGTGCTAAAGTTTATCACGTAAAAGGAACGAAATTTGGAATCTGAGAGACAACAAGAGTGTACATTATTACACTGGAGAGGTGATGTTACCACCCAAGGGGAACACATCAAGTTCTTTATGGCTGTTTCTGAAGTTGGATTTGTAGCAGAGATCAATAAAATACTTGCTGTAGATAATTCAGAGCTTTTTGTTTTTCTATTGTCAGTTTGGGGTTCATAAAATGTGATGAATGTGCTTTGATGAAACTTCAAATTGTTCAAATGGCTTTTCTAGAATTTTCATATTAATTTTTTCTTATGTTCAGCAGCACCATCTTTTTCTTCAACAGTGCTAGGCTTGCCATCGTTGATATTTTGGTAGTTATGTTGGCAGCTTCTGCTTTGATAGCATAAAAAGACAACAAAAGATAAAACATCGCGCCAGGTAGGGGTCGAACCTACGACCTTCTGCTTAGGAAACAGACGCTCTATCCACTGAGCTACAAGCGCAACTTTGAAATTACCCAGCATATCTTATTATATAATTGTTCTTTTGATCATAAGCAAGCAATGGCTATGTATGTCATAGTAGAATTCTCATCATCTATATTTTCAGAGTAGATTGAAAAAGTTATAGTCTTATGCTTCTATAGATTTTGTTCTTATTTGATAAATTAAATTATAAATTAATTTGACATGCTTACACGAACAAAATGGTTTGATTCTTAAATTTTATACTTTATATGAATGTTTTAACATATATCTGAAAATCGTACATAATTTAAAGTCAAAAGTAGTTTATTAACAATATGACAAAAATATTAAATGTCAAAATAGAAAATATTATTTTTATCTAGAGGGAATTGTACCTTTCCGCTAAAAAAAGTTTGTCTATTTTATTATTTTTACACTTAATTATATGTAAACCCTTTTGAGTATGTAATTAGAATGAAAATAAGAAGTAGCACGTGTGACACTTAATCCCAATGTTAACAAAAACCCTTAAAATTCTTTCCATTCTCTGCTTTAAAATCACTACACAACCGCTAAGAAATCCAAATCTTATTCCTTATCTCGTTGGATACCCTGATTCCTACTCTCTAAGTAGCATCAGTTTCCACTGTATATATGTACATGTATGTGTTTGATACATGCATTAGGTTTTAAAGTTTGCTTGGTCACCAAGAAACGACAAAGAGAACCTGTTTCCAACTTTTCCATTGTTGATCGTAAATAGTCTCTCTTTTCTTTATTGGATCGTAGCTTTATGCACCCTCTTCCTCTTAGGTTCTCAAACTTTTCTCTCTTACCGTGGACCTCACCTTTGTAGGATCACCTTAGAAAAACCTCATTTTCTTTGGTGGGGGTGAGAGGTTCTACCTTATTCCTGGTTTCATCCACAAGACAGCAACATCTATGTTGTTTTAGTTTCAGAATTCGTCAGACTCTCACACCAAAATTCTGGTACAGCATGATTTTTCCAAGATTTTGTACGAATCTAAAAGGTATGGCTTTTGTAGATTCTCAACTTTATCTTGATCATACGCGCAAAAGATTCTGAAATCTGTGCGCCTAGTGATTCAAAGCTCTATAATTTCTTCTTGTTTGTGTTTCTCTCCTGTGTTTTACGAGCACCCCTTTCGAGTTCCTCTCCTTTTCCATCTCTTTAGGGACTTAATTGAACTAAAGCTTTTTGTATGCTTGTGGTTTGAGGTATGGAATTGGAAACCCTGTACCCTCCTTGTTTTATGCCAGATTCAAATTGGTTCGTGGAAGAGAGCCAAAGCACAGAATGGAGTAGGGAGGATAACAAGAAGTTTGAAAGTGCCCTTGCTATATATGACAAGGACACCCCAGATAGATGGTTCAAGGTGGCAGCCATGATCCCTGGGAAGACTGTGTTGGATGTGATCAAGCAATATAGGGAACTGGAAGAAGATGTGAGCGAAATTGAAGCAGGGCGTGTTCCAATTCCTGGTTATCTTGCCTCTTCTTTCACCTTTGAGCTTGTTCACAACCACAACTATGATGGAAGCAGAAGAAGACCTGCAGCTGTCAGAGGTTCTGATCAAGAGAGAAAGAAAGGGGTTCCCTGGACTGAAGAGGAACACAGGTGAGTTTCCCCAATTTAAACATCATAATCTTGAGTTGGTCTACTTGTTTCTTGTATACACTTGTTATTGATTGAAATCTTCTGCTGTGATGCTACTTTTTGAGGTATTTCAATCTCTGTCGTTTTTGAATTGCAGACGTTTTCTGATGGGACTTCTCAAGTATGGTAAAGGGGACTGGAGAAATATTTCTCGGAATTTCGTGGTGACAAAGACTCCCACCCAAGTTGCTAGCCATGCACAGAAGTACTACATAAGGCAAAAGGTTTCTGGAGGAAAAGATAAAAGGAGACCCAGCATCCATGATATAACCACTGTTAATCTTACAGAAACTGCTGCATCGGATAAGATAAAGTCTCCGTTCATGATTACACCGCAGCAGAAGCTGAATAGTATGTCAAAAGTGCAGTTGGACTGGACCAGCCACTGCAATGATGGATCACTCATGGTTTTCAACCCAAACAGAGACAACTTGTTTGTGTCGTCTTCATCTGATATCATGGCCCTGAAAATGCAAGGCCAGGATCTCTATGACTGTGCTTTACACGAGGCTTATGCCAAGGTAAAAGTTCCAGGTTTCGGCATGGCTCCCAGAGACTTCAATAATGAAGCTATTTTCGGTATTCATGCACTGTAGTCACAGACAACCCTGATGAGAAAAATTCCACTGCATTAGATCATTGTTCTGTAGGATTAATGTAGATGACCTGAAGCTCGCTACCTACTTAGTTCATGGTTATTGAACATCCTAAAAGAAAAACTGCAATCTTCTGAAGTTTTCCTCTTTATCTTTTTAGTCACAGTGATCGTGTCTATTTCTTTGGAGACCCAATCATATGATGTACCATTCAGGCATGCTATGTCTCAAAAGCAACATGACGAACATCACAAATAATTGAATCCTATTATCACACGCTGATTAATTAACATGGGTTCAAATATCAGAACCTTTCATCCTTATCCAACAAGCTATAAATTGAACGGCATAGTGACACTAGTCAAAGAGTATAGCACAAAAAATAAGATATTGTAACCTCTAGTGCCTTTGAAAATGAAATAGTAAAAATATTATGTAACTGCACGATGGATCTTTCCAGCATCAAATCCCATGAAAGAAATAATACTGGTAAGACCAGAATTTAATCCAGATAAAATATTAATACCATCTTCAACTCAAAATCATAAGATAATAGATTTAGGTTTGCTGATGTGGTAATTCTTTTGCGCACTTGGTTTGTGTGAGCAATAAGGCCAAGTTGACCATGTTTGATTAGCATCACTTTAGCAGTCGAATCCGAGTTTGCATTCCACTTTGGCAGAATCGCATGCTTGATTGGGTGAGAATATAAATAGGCAGATTCACGTAAGCATGCACCAATGCGGTTCACACTATCACAGTGAGCTTTTATTTATTTTGATTCTGGGCCAATCAGCTTCTTCCTTTTCTCTGATATTTCTGTGCTCGCCAATCTCTTTTTCGCTGGTGGCATCACTTTTGCGTTTGCGTTGTTCCTTCTTTTGCTAGTCTCTCCAAGCATCATGCTTTGTTTTGATTCTTTGTTTTGCTTGAGAACCCCATAGCATATTCTACTCCCCCCATACACTATCAACACATTTTTCCTCACACTATAACTATAACCCTTAAATCTACTTTTCTTCCTCTTTTTATTTCTTTACAATAATTTAACTTTACAAAATTACAAAAAAAATATTAAGCGAAACTATTACCAGGAATAAAGCAACCGACCTTGGACTATAATTGCAGATTGGGCTCTTCAACTTCTGGAAGGACTATATTCATCTGTCTTCATGAGAATAAGCATATATATCTCTATTCCAGACTTTAGATTATAAATGTTTCTTCTTTTTTTCTTCTTCTTCAAATATTAGTGGTACTAGGAGTTTTTAATTCCAAAATATTCTTAACTTTTTTTTAATAATAACTTAAAGTTATACCGATAGATTCTACGTCATTTCTTCCAAGTGTATGTCACTACCTATAAAAGGAAAGAACATGGCATATGTGCAAAAAACAAGAAATAAAACATATTTTTGAGGTAGTCATTTTTACGGAATTGATTCCTAGAAATATAAATTAAAATAACTGTAAGATCCTATAAACCAACTAGCAAATAAGAGCAATTTAGTTTAATTATTTTCAACAATTTTTTTTTGTTTTTCATATATAATACAATATTTAGCAAAATAATAAAATTATTACTCCTATAATAGTTAAATTCATTGAATTCACTATACTTGATCTATTTTTGTACATACCCACTTTACATTTATTTCATTTACATACTTTTGCCTCTTTTTTTCAACTTCATCCTTTTTGAAAACTAAGATTTGTAGAAAATAACACGTCTGGACAAAGAAATAGCACATATTAGAAAAATACGAACCTAAACATATTATGTTTATTCTTTTTTCTATTTTTTAAGTGTTTATTTATATGTATTTGTAATCTATAAATATTTTACACTGTGAGTCAATTACCATGGTAATAAAAGTCAACGTGTTATGATATTTACTTTATAAATATATACTCTTTAATTTTTTCTTTCTCACTTCACATACAAAATTAAATTATATATTGAATATCTACCAGCGAAAAATCACGAATGTTTTACTAAATTAATTTTAATATGTTCGCATAATTTATGTTTGTATGTTCTTGTCTTAAATTTGTTATAATATGATTAAGGTTAATTATTACATCCGAATTGCTTGTTTTGAAGTTTTTTTTTTACAGTTGTCCTCAAAATAAATGAGATTACTAAGTGTATCATATAATAAAATTGTGACAACATGCTTTTGAGAAAATGTTAACAAATTTCAGAAATTGAATACAAAGAGAAATAAAAAGTGGCATAAATGAAAATTTTATGAGGTAAAAGGTAGTCTAAGAAAGATTTTTAATGCCTTTAGTAACAGTTTGAATAGAAGGATATTCTTAAAAATACAGTCTGAAGAATAAGGATTAGTTTTTTAAACAAGAAGGATTAAATTCTAATTTACCTTAATCTGTACCAACGAGTTGATTTTATTATATGGTCATTTTAAATGTAGCTACAGTTGATTTTTAAATGAGTGAGACACTACATAAAGAATAAAACTGAAAGTGATGAAGTGAAGATAATATCAATAAAAAGCGTGCAGTAATTAAAAGAGTGAATTCTAAATTTATTACTTAATTATTATTATGTGAATTTTATTATTATATTTTTGAATCATTTTGTCATTGAACTTCTACCTTTTTTGTATATTTTCCTACTTAAGCTTTTACTCCAGCATATTTTATCATTATTTTTCAATTTTTATATAATCATCGTATATATAACAAAACGAAACTGTTTGATAAAAATTGAGATAAAAATATAGCAATCAATTTGATAAGGTGTATAAGAATTAAAAATATATATATATTATAATCAATTAGTTGAAAGGATAATATAAGCTAATTAAAATAGAAAGTGAGAAGATAATGATTCAAAGGGACATATGTAATTTCGTGGAAGATGTATTGACACATATGAGTATCTATAGTTTAAAAATTAATAAATTTAATTATCAATATTAACTATAATGTAATAAAATAAAATATAAGGATAAGATTCACACGGTTATACTAATTAATAACTGTTTGAGAATCAAAATCTGTTTATCAATATGTGTCAAGTTGTGTATATTATTATATGATTATAATAGTTAGTAAAGTGTTTGACATCCAACACCGAATAAATATACTTTGAAGAAGATAAGTCCCACCCACAAAAGTCTTAAATAATAATAATGTATGTTTAAGGACCCAAAATAATTTAAATTTATTTTAAACTTGGAAATCTTTGTACAATGAAATATTTTATACAGTCTACCAAATCGCATCATGCATGCGTCATAATCCACAAAACTTTATAAATACAATCTTATTGAACTATAATGCTTAATTGGAGTTTTGTCCCGTTGGAAAGAAAATTAAAATATATTTTCTCTCTTAAGAGATCGTATTTTATTATTAAAAATGGAAATTCCAAATTTAACATGAATCAAAGATAAAGACAAAAATCAATTACGAATCATCAGTATAGTGGTCTTAGCCTTAGGAACTTGGCAAAAATCAATTACGAATTTTTTTTTAAAAGTATTTATTTTTAATTGAAAGTGGTCTTGGCCTTGGGAAGCTGGGAAAAAAGCAATAAGCTTCCTAAAATAAACTAGACGGAACACGCACGAGGATGTTTAATTTGGATAGGTTTTCATTAGTTGTGAAATGTTTTGATTATGTTTTTAATGACAATATAATAAAAAATATGAGTGAAGATTTTATTTTGTTTTTTTATATTTATTTATATTTTATTATTATTATTGATGTTTATTGTAACATCCCATAAATACAGTAATAAACCATACAATAGAATAATCACATTAATTAACATATCGGTTCAGTCTTACATTAAAGTCGAGCGTACGTTCATGGCCGAACGCCTTACAAAACGAGGTACAAACATTAGAGATGTACAATATAAGCATAACTGACCGAACGGTTTACAAAGCAAAAATACCGAACGGTTATAACAAGCAAAAGGGAAAGTGATCGTTCGAAGACAACACACTATACTAGCTAAACTATACAGCGAACCGAACGTACTACCGCTCGGCCTTTACTTCCGCGTCAACGTGATTCTCTTCCTCCAAATTTTCTTCTTCTAGCGTCTCTTCCAGTAGCGCGTCTCCATCTGCTCACATCCACACGGATGATCATTGTAAAGACAAGACGGACGTACAGATACAGGACAACACGATGAAAACACAGGGTAAGCTTATTTGATTTAATTCAAGTAATAACATGCATTTCTCACATTCAAATATAACAAATACATTTCAATATAAGATTCAATCAAACCCTGATACTAGACTGACTGTCCGGACTATATGATTCTGTGTAGCTACAGGCGTTCTTGCACCCGGGTGATGTAGTAACTGGGATACACTCAACAGCTGCCACCCGAGGTTAGCCCTATCCAAAGTACCCCTAAGGAATAGGACCTCCTGCCGTTCCCACACATGACCTACCCTCCTCTACGTGAGGACGAGTACTCACGGAACATCAGGATGAACTGCCAGCATTAGCATGCCCACAGTCATACTTTACAAAAATCCAATATTCATACGAGAGTCGTTCCTCCCTGGAACGCTCGTTCATAATTCCAACACATTTCATTCACATCATCTTCTTATTTCATACATAATCATTCTCAATTCCATCTTTCATTATCACTTTTCTCAAATTCATCTTTTATAATCTTTCACTTTATTATCATTTTCATCTTCAGTTCCAAGGGCATAAAATACCGAACGTTCAGCCCTCGTCATAACGAGGACGAACGTAAGGAACGAGTCCGAGAATTCTCTCGTTCCAGAATAGAATAAAACCGACTACTATAACACCGTATATGACGAACGTCATTTACCACTTGAGTCAGTTGAATGAACTGACTCTCGTAAGTTCAGATCAATACTCAAAGAATAGTTTAAGTACAGAGGCTCTAGGCCGGATCCAATGGATATAGGCCCCTCAAGACGATTAAAGAACCATACTTAGAATAATTCAATTACAGAAACCGACTGTCAGTCAATGACCGAACACGGTAAAAGGATTTACTGAATTTGGACGAACGTTATTTCCACAAGTTTAATAATTAAAGACGAGTACGAGCGTTCGGTATAAGACCGAGCGCCACTCATAACGAACGCTTTGGGTCGAAACCCATCACTGATTTGAACTCATGATAGAAATATTAATATTAATTAAATATAACACGAGATGGTGAAGAGAGGGTTTAAGAATGACT